ACAAATTCATGTTCTGGTTTCCAGGAAGCAACCCAATTGGTCAACACATAATTGGAGGCTTTGTTCCCATCCTTTTTTATTTTCATTTTTAACTACCTTTGTTCTGATCTGAATTCAACACTTCCCCCAAAGCCAGTAATGCTGTCCACCAGTTCCCATTGCTGTTCTGAAATAGATAATCTGATTGCTATTCCAAATTAGATGATACAAAAGTGTGGCAGATTTTAGAAATCTGAATGAGATGAGCTTATTCAACGGCGATAAATTGATAATTGAAAGAGGGGGCTACGCCTTTATTGACTATTCTATTTTTTAAATTTATTACGAATTTACATGTAATTTTGCCTATATTTAAAATTTGAGAGAGCTAGAGCTCCTCCAGACTTTAACCTACCTCTTCCACTGTCATCTGGTCTTCTGAAATACAAGGGTTGGATTGCAAAGAACAGAATTAAATGCAGTATGTTCCTCTGTTTTCCATTGAAGTATAATTCTGTGAAAAATTAAAACTTAGAATTCATGTCATATTTTCGTCAAACTCGTCCTAAAATTTTCTCTTCTAAACTACATCCTCATGCTACCACAATCCACCCAAAGAGATTGTCTGAAATGTCGTGAATCGTGATGTCATCTCTCAAGTCTCAACCCTTTCCTAATATTCTAAAGCACCACATTCATGTTTCTTACATGACGAACCAATCGTCATCTCATTTTATTTAGAAAAATATTTGATTCGGTATAAATATGTATTTATTAAACTATTATGTACTCCAAGCAATAGAGCGCACAATTATTGCTTGGAGCATATATATTTACAAATTGCAACACAAAATGTACAAGAAGTAAGTATAGACCAATAACTTTCTCCAGAGCCTCAAACTTATTGAAATTCCCGCCAACACAAGCAAAGCAAGCCTCTTCATCAATTCCACCACAAACTGGACTTTTGAGAAAGAACAGAAGGGTCCATACACATTCAGGTTTGCAATCAGTAGACCCATATGCATGTTTCAGAAGTGTCTTTATGCAAATACCTGTCTTCGCAGTAACATTGGCCTCAGAAACCTATCCCCGTACGTTAAAACTCTGCCCACCTCCCAACTAAGCAAATCAACAATTATATTTTGGGATTTTTTATCTCAAGGGAGAAGTAGTTGAATAGTGGCATGAAATCAACATGAAAAACCAAATGAAAGGGACACCAAGGCAAGGCTAGGCTCCAAGACATGATGTTGGTACGGTGTGTTCTTTGTCATGAAAACTACGAGCAAACAATAACGAATTGAAGGTGTGATCGGGTCACTCTTTTTTAGAGTATTATTTGACCTCAATACGAAATGTTGGTAGGAACTAGGAAACAGACTAATCACTTTTATGAGTCCCTACCATAAAAGTCTGGAAGCAGCTAATCTTTTGGACTTCTGTGTTTGTGATTTTGAGCAAGAAAACATGGAAGAAGAAAAAGAACGTTGGAAATGAATTCTGACTAGAGGTGGCAAATGGATTGGATTGATGGATTGGTGGATCCATGGATCAAATGGATTGGATATAATGGATTGGTGGATTCATGGATTGGATCAAGTGAATTTGTGGATTATCCATGAATCCAAATGACATCCTCAACCAAGGACCAATATGTAAAATGTAAAAAATTTAGGTACTAAAATGTCACAATGAAACATTTTAGGTACCAAAACGTAATTTTCCAATGATATTTTTCATATAAAAAATTAAATTTTAAGTACCAAAATGTAAAAAATAAAAATTATAGGTACTAAACCGTAATTTGCCAATGATCCATGGATCCAATCCATGAATCCACCAATCCAATAGGATTTGGATAAAATGGATTGGATTTAAATGGATTGGATTAGGTGGATATTTTTAATGGATTGATGGATTGGATTGGTGGATTGGATTGAAATTGCCACCTCTAATTCTGACAGCACCAAACTACTTTGAGCCCCTCATTAGTAAACATAAGTAGTCACTTGATTATTTTTGTCTTTACTAGGATAAACATTAAAAGAGACATTAAAACGCGCTCCTCTCATAAATTTTCACCTCAAAATCGCGAATAGATCGCAGACACACCCGAATCAGAGACCAACCATACCTTGGTTCGTTGTTTACCCAACATATCACATAGCTAGCCAATAGCGACACCACTAGATTGAAACATTGAAATTGCGAAAGAATGAGCATATGAAAAAAGTGCAAGCAAATCTTCATTAGTGGTCTGGTGACTAGTTAATTAACATTGTACAATACCCAAATCCAATGTACGTGTCGGTGATCATGTTGTGCCATATCACATACTTTATTTCATAAGATTAAGAAGATGATTTGTGCGCGTTAAGGCCATCGAAATGCAGGTTAAAGTTACGCATTAAACAATGACGCACGCAGCAGGGACAAAATTAGGGTCAAAGGATGAGCATTAATATTCTTGATAGTAATTAGGGAACAATTTATAAGCATAGGCAACGTGGTTAATGATGAATGCTTTATACTTTCTTGCCGATTTCACGTGTGAGCCCATTCTCGACTTCCAAAGAATGCCTACTTTTTGTTTCATTTTGCATTTCACCTCCACGAATTAAGCTGAATACTTAGCCAAAAAAATTCCCTTTTACTAAATATATGGACTTTATTTTGTCACTTATACGAATACAAGTACGAGTTTGATCATGATATTATTATAGTGAAAAAACTATTTACCAGTTCTCCTCCAAAGAAACAAGTAAAACTCTACTTATCAAGTACACAACATTGATTAGATTTAGACATTCAAACTCAGAAGTTTTAGATAAGCAGTTAGCACATCCTCCGTCCACCAGTAACCTAATTAATCAACTGTTGATTTGTAATTACTTACTCTTCTATTCAATTAACTGCTTTTATTTAAGGGTGCGAATCAATCGATTCGATTCAAAATAGATTGAATCGATGTAGTATCATACCAAAATCATGTTTGTTTTATTTGGTTCGACTAGATCCGGTCGAAACTTAATTCCATCTCACTTTTTCTTCATACTTCAAATAATTTATACGTACGAAACTAGATCGATAGTTGATTCACTTCAATCCAAATATCAGTTCAACACAATTTAGTGTGGTGTAGACCATATATCGTTCTCAACCCCAACTCTTTTTGTTGTTGTTGTAGAAGTTGGAGGAATGCAATGAATGGCAGCCAACCATGGGCCATGGCAGCTACTCTGAAGCCCAGAAAAAAGAAGCCCAATCTCTTGATAGTCCAACTCCCAATGCAGCAAACAGCTATGGACACGTACACAGCCCAACTTAACTTGGGTCTGGCCCTAATGCAGGGCCCTTTCTTTTTGTGAGCTAAGAGGCAAATAATCGGATAACATAGCTGTGTTATGTAAGTATGTAACAGCTCAATAACCTAAAAAACAGATGATAAGCCAAAATTCCATAATCTTAGGTTAATCGTTATAATACACGAGAATTAAAAAAGTCATTAGAATGATTCATAGAAGATATATGGCCAGCTTAAATAAGGAAGAAAGTAAGATCAATTAGGACAATCTTTAATCACTATAATAATTCCATGAAGTACATAATCTGTTAGGGAGATATGGTATATCTAAGGAGTAATTATCAAAGAACAACCTGAATTAATCACTTAGACCATAGTGTTAGAATTTAGAAGGCATAAGGATCTTAACTGTGATGAACTAGTGAAAATTAACCAATGTACTCTCAGGCAAAATGGTCGAACCAACAAGTGACAAATGCCCAAATCGCCCAAAGAATGTTGATGCAAGAGGGTAGCCTGAATTTGTGTACGGCGAGCACAAAATATTTATAAAAATATGGGATAAAAACTATAATTTTGTTATTATCAGTCAAACTGTTCAGAACATAACTTTCAATTCATCCTACAATATAACAATTATGATTCATATACTCAAGGAGAAAATTATTATTATTAGACAACTTATTAGAATTAAAGGTAGGTAACAAGTTTCAAGGAGAAAAGTTGGTGAAAAAGAGGAACAATTAAAAATTATAATCTGTTATATACAATTGAACAAAATTATATCTAACAAAATTACATGTGCCTTAGTGAAGAAAATGCTAAATATTATTGTTTATGTATCAATTATAATGTAATGATATACAATTGAGCTTTATTTCATTTCGAAAATTAGTTTTATTAGTTCATTGAAACAAAATAGTAATTAATACTTTCAACTAATTAATATATCTATTTTTACTCAAATCTCCCAAATAAAATGTGTCCCCCACTCCGAAACCTATATGATTCTAATCTTAATCCGCCTCAGAGTTGATGTAGTTTTAAGAGGAAAAAGAAAGATGGAACCTTTCATACAAAAATTAGGACTTAACCAAGATTCAAAAACCTACTAGAGGTAAACTATAAACTGAAATCAAACAAAAAAATCCGATTAAAAATACTCTGATTAGATCAACTATAAACTGAAATCAATCGTTAACTTCTTATATACATTCTTGATTCTTCCACCAGAAAAAGAAAACTTCTTATATCCATAAGAGACTTATCTTTGCCAAATTCTCCTGCTAATCTTGTTTACACGATTGATTTATTATCATACTATAATAATTATATTTTTATCATTTGAGATGATGATTATCCTGGCTTACCTATTTTAATTTCTTGGGCTTGGGCACTTCCTCATTGACTTGAAGTCCGTGAAGCATAACTATCGGTTATCGCGCATCATAGAAGTGCGGGCGTCACAGCGCTGAAGAAGAGGCAGAAGCAAAAGCAGGCATCTTCCCCTTTTCGTTGCTTCGCAGGTTTTGTCTGGCTTCCACCGAAACAATCTGCGCTTCTCCATCGCGAAGAAAGATCATCGAGAGAGCTCAATTACGGAAGCAACAACGCTAGGTTAGTTAGATCGCCCGATTCCCCCCTGATTTCTATCCATTTCATCATGTGATTATGCCCTTTTAGGCGCACTATCTTTTCACTCTTTTTGTTTGTATTCCACTCAGAGCTGGAGATTTCCTGTCCATAATTTGAATTTTTATCCACTTCGTACCTTTCCCCCTTACCAAGGAAGTAGGAACCCCGTTTAGGGCGCGCGGCTCTCTTTTCTTTTCTTCCTTCTGTTTTCTCTTCCCCCCCTCGTTGCGGGTTTGTGGTTTTTGATTGTTTTGGCCATCTGGGTACCTTTTAATCGTATCGAAGTTTTGAGCTTTTGACGCTGGCTTGATGGTTTACGGTTCTTGAGTGGTGGGTTTTTGATTGGTTGAGTGTCCTGCGCGCCGAACTGAACTTTCAGTTCGGCAATGGCTCGGTTGTTGATGATTCCTCCTTGCAAAAATTCGTGTTTTCCGAAGACCAGTCTCTTGAGTTTGTTCTCCTCGGCTCCTGTGATTACTCGTAACCCAGTTTCTTGTTCGTTTAATTACTCACTGCTTTGATTTATACAAACCGGAATTTGTTCATGAGATGGTTCACTTTTAAATATCCTTTTCATCGTTGTTTTGTTGATTGTGTTTCGACGACGATTCTTATCATATGGTAGATTTCGCTTCTTGACTGTGATTCTTATGGCTGTTTTCGTTTTGTTCGTTTGCAGCTCCAGGCTACAAGCCGAGCTAGTTGTTTAAGCACTTCTTTGAGAAGTGCATCTAGTCACAGGCAGCTTCTTCGTTCTGTGGTGAGTATAACAATGCTGGACTTCACTTTTGACAAACTTTAACAGTCCATGATTTCGGAGTCTAAATTTGGCTGCTAAAATTGGTGTATACAGGTCTCATTTCAAAGAAATTATAAGTTTTCGCATCCCGGATTATATGTATGTATATCTTCTGATTGGTGTGTTTTTTACATTTGACTTTCATACAGCGTATTTTTAGATTGGTTATTGATTAGAGGAATTTTGATAACCGTTTCAGAGTGCTACACAACACAGTCGGAGGCTAATTTGTTCAGTTGCTACAGAACCAATACTCCAGCAGACCAGAGAGGCCAAAATGGATGCACCGAAAGAAATCTTTCTGAAGGATTATAAGTTACCTGATTATTACTTTGAGACGGTATGCTCTAGGTTAAGTTAGAATGTGGATTGCTTAAGACTCTGAATTCTGTTACTGTTGCTATATTGAAAGTGTTTCCTTGATCTTTGATGCTTATATTTGGCGTGATCTCAGGTTGATTTGGGCTTTGCTCTTGGCGAGGAGAAAACACTTGTTAACTCAAAAATAACCGTGTCCCCAAGAGTTGAAGGTGACTATTGTAATCTTGTTATGGCTCATTGGATATGTCAAACGATTGTAGCAAATGTTTCTTCTTCCTAGTTGCAATTACTTTAGGACATGCCATTCATCTATGTTCTTGAGTAGGTTCCTCGTCCCCGCTGGTTTTGGATGGGCATGATTTGAAGCTGCTCTCTATTAAAATCAATGGGAACGGACTGAAGGTATTGATAATTTTGTCAAATTATTTGTGCTAAGTTTGTCCTCCAATGTCTTTCTGCCGTGTTTAGTGCTTGGTCTGTTTGCAACTTGCATGAAATGGTACTTATTTATGCTTTAGGCACACTCTTTTGGTGCTTACCTGCTTTCCTCTTGTGACCATCCAAATCTTGTTGGGTTGCTGCTCGTATTGGTTACTACATTAACTGAAGTTATTCCTTTCTTTATGCTTTCCAGGATGCAGATTTTCAAGTGGATTCCCGCCACTTGACTATCCTGTCACCTCCAAGCGGGGCATTCACTTTGGAAATCATCACTGAGATATATCCTCAGAAGAACACTTCACTAGATGTAAAAACACATTGTATCAGTTTATTCTATTTTCTACCTTTTTTTATGCTTCTTTCTCTCAGTCTCTTAGTTTCTTCCTGCAGGGACTTTACAAATCAACTGGGAACTTCTGCACTCAATGTGAAGCAGAGGGTTTCCGGAAAATCACATTTTTCCAGGTTAATATTCTGAAGCATCTTTTATCTTGAAACCTGTTTACAGACTATTCTGACTTCTTTCTTCCTGATTTTGCTAACAGGATCGTCCAGATATAATGGCCAAGTACACATGCCGAATTGAAGCTGATAAGTCGCTGTACCCAGTGTTGCTGTCTAATGGAAATCTTTTAGAACAAGGAGAACTTGATGTAAGATTGATGTTTTATAATGCATCATTTCATCTACATAGCTAGTCGAGTTGTTGGTGTCAAGTTCACTTGGTTCTTTTTGCAGGGTGGTAAGCATTATGCTCTTTGGGAAGACCCCTTCAAGAAACCATGTTACTTGTTCGCTTTAGTCGCTGGACAGCTGGAGAGCAGAGATGACACTTTTGTCACCCGATCTGGTCGGAATGTGCAGCTCAGAATCTGGACCCCTGCAGAAGACTTGTCCAAGACTGCACATGCTATGTATTCGCTTAAGGCTGCAATGAAATGGGATGAAGATGTCAGAATCTTCCCTCGAGTTTTTGTTTTTCCAGTAGTGAAATTCTTTTGACAATTCTTAAAATGACACTACTATGGAACTGTCTGCAGGTTTTCGGTCTTGAGTATGACCTGGACCTCTTCAATATTGTTGCTGTCCCTGACTTCAACATGTAAGAGATAATGCATGCTTTCTTTCATTCTTTGATTACTGGTTTTGATGGTGGTTTCTTATACTTTCTGCATGGTAATTGGTGATTGGAAACATTATTAGCCTGTAATTCCTGACTCCGTGATACAATCCTTTTTTTATTATGCACAGGGGGGCTATGGAGAATAAGAGTTTGAATGTACGATTTTCTCTTTTCTGTAGATGCCTTTGTATTTTTCTGTACTAATTTGAACTGACACATGGATCTTATTTACAAAAGATATTCAATTCCAAGCTTGTCCTGGCGTCTCCCGAGACTGCCACAGATGCAGATTATGCTGCTATTTTGGGTGTTATTGGTCATGAGGTTGGTTGCTCATTTTGACTGCCAAGTTTCTTGTTCTCTTGTATCAGTGGACTCAGTAATTTATTCTGGTCTTTTTGGTTTACAGTATTTCCATAACTGGACAGGCAACAGGTTGGTTTTATCTTCTGGCAGTTCTAATTTCTTAGCATTTCTTCTGTTGTGAAGTATCTGTTTATTTTGGAGCATGGTACAATACTAAACAAGAACACCTGCAGGGTGACTTGTCGAGACTGGTTCCAGCTCAGTTTAAAGGAAGGTCTTACTGTATTCAGAGACCAGGTATAGCCCTCTTCTTTCATCTTTATTTATGCCGTTTTGCTTCATGCTAAATTTGTCCTTTAATCTTCTTGGACTCTCTGTGGTCGATAGGAATTTTCATCTGACCTGGGAAGTCGTCCTGTGAAGAGGATTGCTGATGTTTCTAAACTTCGCAATTATCAGTTCCCACAGGTTTTACTTGGTCTTTTGCAGTTGTCATCAAATGCTTTGTTTTATATCATTGTTATCATTACTTTTCTTAGCATTAAAGTGCATGCCCTGTAAAAATTCAGGATGCTGGTCCCATGGCGCATCCTGTTAGGCCTCATTCTTACATAAAGGTTTGTTGTCTAACTGTTCAGATCTTTGCATTTTGCTTTCTGACACTCAGTTCAGATCTTTGTTATGTGCCATGCTTATGCTCCTCCTTTTCTTGTTTCTTCAGATGGACAATTTCTATACAGGTCAGTTCTTCTGATTGGTAATGAGACAGTGATAATAAAGTGGGGGAAAAAATTCAGTACGTTTGTTGTTTCGTGATGGATTTCTGACTGCTGCCTTTGACTTGCTCATACTTGGTTCTGATTTTCGGATGTCCATCAACTTCTAGTGACGGTATGCTTACTTCATGGTGCTCTGTGTTTACTTCGTCTGGTTTTGATGCACGCTTATGATCTAACCATCTTTTATCTGTTTGTCTTCATTGCAGGTGTATGAAAAGGTTTGTTTTCGTCATTCTTGTTTCCCTGTATTATTTTTTTCCATCTGAACATCAGACGAAGACTAGTGCTGGGAGGAAACTGGAATAAATGTTAATGTGTAATAGCATTATTACAGGGTGCTGAAGTTGTCCGGATGTACAAAACCTTGCTGGGAACCCAGGGGTTCAGAAAGGTATGCCTTAAGTAATATGGGTACTAGCGTAATGCCTGTGTATGATTAAACTTGATACTCATCAGAGTACCATATTGCAGGGCATGGATCTTTACTTTAAGAGGCATGATGGTCAAGCTGTAACCTGCGAAGATTTCTTTGCTGCCATGAGGGATGCAAATGGTGCTGATTTTGCAAACTTCTTGTCATGGTACAGGATCTCTATGCTTGCCCATTTCTTTTTTCTCACTTTTGTTGTTCCATATGCTTAATAATGCTTATGAACTACAGGTATTCCCAAGCTGGTACGCCAACCGTGAATGTTGCTTCAAGCTATAATGCAGAAGCCAAGACTTTCTCTTTGAAGTTCAGGTGCAAAGGCTAAGAATATAACATAGTAATCAATAATTTTCTATTTCTTTACCCCCCCTCCTTTCTTCTGTCTAATGTGAAATACTATGCAGTCAGGAGGTGCCACCTACTCCTGGACAGCCAATCAAAGAACCTATGTTCATTCCTGTGGCATTAGGCTTGCTGGACTCGAGCGGGAAGGACTTGCCTCTTACTTCTTTCTTTCACGATGGAATGTTGCAGTCAATTTCAAGCAATGGCGAACCAGTCTACAGTACTGTGCTTAGGGTGACCAAGGTTAGTGGAGAATAAACTTGTGGTGAATCTAGTTTCCTTGCCTCTCAACTTTGCCTGTACTTTGCCCTTTGTTAATGTGAGCATTACTCCTTTTCAAGTCCTTGGTCAACTTTCTTTCTTTACTAAGTACCAAGTTAGAGGAATTTTCTAAGATATGTTTCGACTTTCTTACATCTCTAAAGTCATGATTTTCCCTGAACCAAAGGAGCATGGTTATTTGTACATGCGAAGAAAACTGAACCCAATCCTTTGCTGAGTGTTATTCGAGTCTGAACATGTAATCACACATTAGGTAGAAATTAGAAGCCCTAATGCTTATAGCCGACCTGAAGTGGCAACTTCTGCTAAATGTGTAGTTTTTTCTTTGAATGAAGTGTTCTCTTATGCAAACGATTTTAATATTTTTTTATATGTGCTCGTCTTAACAGAAAGAAGAGGAATTTATTTTCTCCGACATAACCGAAAAACCAGTTCCTTCTCTGTTTCGGGGTTATAGTGCTCCTATCCGTCTTGAAGCCGATCTTTCAGAAGCTGATTTGTTCTTCCTCCTTGCTCATGATTCAGATGAATTCAACCGGTTTGTTCTCTTTAACTGTCACATTTTAACTTTAGCAACTTTTGTGTAGGATGATATTCATTTTTCTTTGTTGTGTTATTAGGTGGGAGGCTGGGCAACTCTTGGCCAGGAACCTGATGCTAACCCTAGTGGCTGATTTCCAACAAAATAAGCCATTGGTTTTGAATCCAAAGTTTGTTCAAGGGCTGAAAAGCATTCTTACTGACTCGTCTTTGGATAAAGTACGGGACGGCATATATTTTATGTAATTCTCCCACACGGAGCAAAATAGCTAACTGTTTCCTGTTTGATTCCTTAGGAATTTATTGCTAAGGCAATTACTCTGCCTGGTGAAGGTGAAATAATGGACATGATGAAAATTGCAGACCCTGATGCTGTTCATGCAGTCCGCTCCTTCATCAGGAAGCAGCTTGCTGCTGAACTGAGAGCCGAACTTCTGAACACTGTATGATTGATAATCCTCTGTTGAGCTTGTGAAATATCCACACTTCTTGTGGTCTCTATGACGATATCTCAATTTGTTCTGTTTTCTTAAACAGGTCAAGAACAACAGCAGTTCTGAAGCATATGAGTTTAACCACCCAAACATGGCCAGGAGGGCACTGAAGAACATTGCTCTCGGTCTGTATTGTTTGCCTGACACTTCCCACCTTGCTATTTCACTTTGTTTTAATAGTGATGTAGATAACTGATGATGTTGGTCATTTCAAAACCCTTTCTGCAGCATATCTGGCTTCACTTCAAGATGAGGAGTCAGCTGCGCTTGCACTCAATGAATACAAGTCTGCCACAAATATGACAGACCAGTTTGCAGCTTTGGCAGCCATAGCTCAGAACCCTGGTAAAACTCGGGATGAAGTGTTGGCTGACTTCTACAGCAAGTGGCAAGATAACTTCTTGGTGAGCAATTGCTGTAGTTGTTACCTATTACTTTAGTGGCTGTTTAGCTCTACGCTAACTTCTCATTTTCCAGGTTGTGAATAAATGGTTCTCCCTTCAAGCCTGGGCAGATATTCCTGGGAATGTGGAGAACGTTCGGAATCTCCTGAATCATCCAGCATTCGATTTACGTAATCCAAACAAGGTAATAGACGCAGGTTAAATGTAATATCATCAGCATCCTCTTGTTCATGTTTTCAGAAGAGGGTATTAAACTGAGATTGGTGTTCTTCATTAAACAGGTATATGCTTTGATTGGAGGATTTGCTGGGTCCCCAGTCAACTTCCATGCTAAGGATGGTTCAGGCTACAAGTTCTTGGGTGAGATGGTGGTCCAACTCGACAAAATCAACCCTCAGGTTTGTAATTTGTCGTCTTAATGATAGGATTCTTCAGGATCCCCACCTTCATGGTTCCTTGCCTAACAAGTTAACATCCCCTCCTTGGGATGGTCCGTTTTACAGGTGGCTTCCCGCATGGTTTCGGCCTTCTCGAGATGGAGGCGATACGATGAGACAAGGCAGAACCTTGCCAAGGTAAAACTGAACCAAACGAACAGTTAATTGGTGTTGGTTTTCTTGGAGGGATGGATGAACATGGTCTTTTGTTGTTGTTGGTCACGTTGCAGGCGCAGTTGGAGATGATAGTGTCTGCCAATGGACTGTCGGAGAATGTCTTCGAGATTGCTTCTAAAAGTTTGGCTGTCTGAACTTTTTGACGACGCAGACCAAATTCCACGGAGATGTTAGAGTTTAAAGAACAATTAGTTTCGTTTGGGAGATGGTGATTCTACTTTGAATTTTATGCAAGACAAAAGTTTGGTCATGAATTTGGTTTCTGAAGTAATAATGATGAAGTAATAATAGTAGTTAAGCTATCTTTGGGTTTTCATTGGACCGTCGAGGTTGTTGGCCCGTTTCTGTTGATGGGGCCTTGGGCTTTTTAATTATCTGTGTCCCACCTTACCTCCTTTATCTTTGTATGATACTATGAGGTAATCCTCCAGTGGGTTCGGTGGGCCCACCTTGACCCACAGTCCTTATCTCGTCAAAAGTTAAAAACTATCAAATTCGAGCTAAATGTCGATGGATAACACTCTATTGTATGGATTTCACCGTATAACTTTATTTTTCCCGTGTATGTCATTTGGTTAAAATCATGGTTGTCACGCCGGCCGGCGTGCCACCGGTTATACCGGGTTCAACCGGTACTGGTCATAAAACCGGCGTGACACCACCGGTATGACCGGCATGATCGATATACGAATCTGTAAGTAAAATGATCTTATTTTAGTGAATTTAATTGATAAAAATTATTTTATTATTTATTTTATGAGTATAAAAGTTAAATATTGATGTTATTTGTTGGATTCAAGTATAAATGTTTAGGTATTAACGTTAAATGTCATGTTTAAATATGAGTATTTACAATTTTATTTGTAATATTGACCGGCATGAACCGGCACAAACCGGTATGTGCCACTGGTTGAACCATTCCACTTGCTAAACCGGCACACTGGCATAAACCGGTTTGACAACCTTGGTTAAAATCGTCGTAATGAGTATTGTGTCATGTCATCTATACTATTCAATATAACACGATCCAAATGTTGAATTGGCTTATTTTCATCCTTTACTCGAGTGGAAGAGAAGTTAGAAGGGGCTATAGCCTATAAGCCCTCCCCTCAAATTGAAAATACATGTTAAATTACAAGTAAAATTTATAACAAATTTAGGAAATAAAATAGTCGGTAAGTTATTGTCCTTCCCTCCTCCCTCTCCTCTATCACGGTTCAAGTTAGTCCCCACCCCCTCATTTAGATTACTGAATCTGCCACTGCTTCGGCCTCGACTCCTCGTCCACGTGGAGTATACCACTTGGATGGTGGTAAATTTTCAATTAGAATGACATCCAAATAATCAAAATCTTGCTAATGTTCCCAAGTGGGTAGCCTTCTTAGATTTATTTTTGATGAAACATATTGATTGAAGCGACCGAATTGCTCTACTGTAACATAATATACGACACTGGAATTAATATTTCATGAGCATTACTGATCACGCCACTTTCTGTGACCAATGTAACACCATCCGCGATCTTGGAGATAATATCGATGATATCACCTTCAATAATCAACGAAACAAACCCCAAATGAAACAAGTTTTGGGTGGGCATGCATAACGTGGACGAATAGAACTTAGTTTGAAATGGGTAATAACAACAACATAAAATGGAAAGAGTAACAAGAACATCAACCAAAATAATGATGTTTACCGAAATTTTATGGCTTTCTCGCACCATTTGAGGCAGAAAAGGGAAGAAGAGTATGGGACACTGCAAAAGTGACTTACCTATAATGTAAACCTAGCTTTATGTTAAAACACTTTGAACCACAACATAATGGAAGTTGACTAGAAAGGTTTGACGTGACATAAGAAGATTTTCCTCTCCAGCAATAATCGGAGGAGGCAGTGAGCAACTATACGAGAAAACGAGTATGCATTATCTCTTGCCAAATCGAGGATTATTACAACTTACAAAAAGATAAAATAGAAAACCTAAAGAACTACATGCTATACTATAATTACGATGGGGATTTTGGTGCATATATCCGACTTTATCCTAGTATGTAAGTTATGTATTGTGGGTTTATCAATTTGAGCGTATAGCATTGTTCATCATCAAGAATTTTCTTCTTCTCAAAGTAGTTGTAAAAGTTGAAACTAAAAAAATACTGCATCTGTTCAGTTTTATCATCACTTCTTACCATTTGCATTTTGAACCAAGCTTAAAGTGATGTAATATTATGATTGTAACTATCATTATTAGTATATGGGAATGCGAGTTTGGGAGATATGGTGCTATGTTTTAGGTCAAAAAGTAAATAGCCCACCGGTTTCTATTATCATGGTCATTATGATAATATATGCAATCTTATAATGACACTTGTTCAGTCATCTTTCTAATCCTCTTTTTTGACTCGACTCCATCTTTCTTATTCATTTGCTCACCAAAGTAGCTTGTTCATGCTATTGTTTATTAGAGTGAAGGAACAGCGGCAGAATGCGTACTATATCGACAGAGCACTTAGGAGGTTGATAATGAAGTCATAATTACCTCACTTTTTTTTTTCATTCATTAACAAGTAGTTTTATTATATGGTTTCCTTGACAAGTAAGATGTCATACATCAAATACAGATTTGGTAGCGAGTGATATTCATGCAAACTTCTTTAGAGTTTAGACACGTCTATATATCTCGTACAATGTACTTCTTTAATCGTAAATATATTTTACTTCTTCGTTATACTCCTTAAGATGCAAATGTACTCTTGTAACTTAACAGTCTCATAACTTAGACATAATCATGTTTCAAACATAAAGTGGAATCGAAGAGCTCAATCAATTAATGCTGCTGGGCTAGTATAGGGCTAAAGAATTTGAAACTAATGTATTTCTATTAAGCGTCTTCCTCGCGCACCCTATGATAAGAAACTTCTTATATATACGACAGTTCGATACATACATAACAGAAAATAGACTACACAATGAAATGATTGGTGGGACATCGGCGCCGGACACAATTTACTCATCATGCTATATTTGGAAAGCATCGGAGACCAAAATTGATGGTTTGCATATGATAAAATCATGTCCATGTCTTTGATGCATTTTGAATGAATCTAGAAAAGCTAGGGAAGAAATAAGTGAAATTGGAACACAAATGTGTCGACGTTGATAGCTTAGCCTTAGCTAGTCAATGGCAAATCTAGCATTTCATTAACTTAATGATCATCTCAAGGCCGGTTCAAAGGTTGGTTAGAGGGAAACAGAAAACAAAGATGAATTATGAGAGAACCTAAAAGACCCTTTATGGCATGTGATGGTGGGCTAGGCTGAGGGACGAGAAAAGAAAGGAGAAAGGATCGAAGACGAAGACGAAGAGACCATTCTTCTAGGGTTTCTAGCTAGAGGAAAGGTGGGTTTGACCAAATTTCACCCAAGATCAAAGTAACACCCAGATGTGCTCTTAATTTTCCAGTCCATTCAAAACAAAACAAACAAAAAAAAAAAAAAAAATCCAGTCCATTCACAAGATATCAAATGGCTAATGAACAAAATATATGTGATAGTTTCAACTTTGAACTATAATTTTCAGTTTTTTTTTACAGGGGTCTGCTGGGGAGGGGAAATTTCTAGGTTGAAAATTGGTAAAGAGATCGATTGCTAGATAAAACACTTGTTCGTAATAATTTGTGTTTTGAGTGGGTGGATATTGTTAGATCGATAGCAAATGCTCACATTTCCTATAATAAGATCATTATTCCAAATTATTTAACAAAAAGTTTGTTGTTTAAAGGTTTGTGTACCATTGTACAACTTAAGAAATATTTGAATTTGAACCAAATGTTGACATGATTGAGGAAAGGTTGGTGATAATCGGAGTTATCTTTGAGATAATTTAGGTTCTTTGATTGTTGAATTGATTGTTAGGCATGTATTGATGGATATGGTGTACTGTAAATTACATCATTTGGTATTTGTCATTGTATTTTCAATAATTGAAAATGAAAGTCACTTTTCAACGAAAATGTTACTTTTATGGTTGTACCCCTTCTTTTCAATGCATAAGGTACTTTTTAAATGATAAAAATGAAACAAAATTGGACAACTCAACCGAACAAGTCCGACAATCTAATGTAAAAGTTGAGTTGTACAATGATTATTGATGACAAATCAAACAAACAATATGTGCCCTCTAAGTGGATAAAAATACAAACGAAAGAAAATAACTCTTAAAAAGACGCCATAACAATTTCAAAAAACAATCCTAGAAACCAAACCACTTCAGCATCTTGGATTACAGATTTACAGTATTGTCGTAAAAGACAAAACCATATTTAGAGTTGAATAATTAGGGGATTTGCGGCCGTAATTTACATCACAATCACAAGTCAAATCTAGAAACACAAGGTAGATGGATATATGATGGATGGTGGCGGGAAGGTAGGTGGTATCGTGCAAGTTAGTTTACAAAAAGTTTGGCGGGGAAACCGTGGTAGGCCCACTCTTAGAGATGAATAATGATGGGATTAATGAAAGTGCTCTAGCTAAAGGTCGAACCCTTTTCTCTTTAATCAATAAGCAAATTAAAAATTTCTATTAGGTACAGATATTTTTTTTGTTTGGATTTTCTTTTGTTTTGATCCAAATGGCTAAAATTTCGTTTTCACTTTTCAACAATACTTAAAATTTCATGTTAATTTTTTTAAATATAGTTGAAGTACTTCAATTTAAGCGACGGCTCTCAACGTATATGGAGAATTCTACTACGTCTATTCCACATGTAACTAGTGCGTTTAGTAAGTTGGGCGAACTAGAATCTTTTACCAATGATTTTTTAATGAATTTGTTCGAGTCTAGACTATCACGAGTTATCGTGGTAAAAAATACATTGGTTAACATTTTATTTCGATTTCAAAATACATCAAAGTAAATGTCATTTTAAAATTGGAGTAAAATGAATAGGTACCCCATTACATATTAATAGTGCAAATGCAAGAGTCTGCTTCCCTTAATTTATTAGGTGTTGCATACAGTTTTCTTGGTGTGTTCAGCAGTTTATATGACTTTATTGTTTTGATGTGTATTGATTTGGCATCTTTTGGCCGTTTCAATTGAACTCCATCCGCATGCCCTCTCATGGAGACACCGTAAGAGTTTTTATTCACAAAGATTTCGACACAATACTTTTTTAAAAACGGAGTGTTTAAAGTGCGTTCTAATTTTTATTTATCAAATTAAGCGAGAAGTTTCTATCTCGAGAGGGTCATGGACTCATGGTACAACCAATAGGGGATTGCACTATTAAGTGCATCGAAAATGTGGGTTCCCATAGCTAGAGAGTGGCCCAAAGAGACACTATCCATTTCATAAGCGATGGACGTACTCCAGTTTCGAAGCCTTCTTTCACAGGAGTGGGAAGTTAGACTCTCTCATGTTTTCAGGGAGGGGAATTCATGAGCCGATTGTTTGGCTCATATGTGTTTTTATTTTATCCTTTTGGCGCTCATTTATTTGTGAGCATGAACCTGAGATCTGTAAATGAATTATATATGACATTATGATATCTATATACCCTCGACGTATTATTAATGATATGAGGTAGTGATACTCATAGGCGGAGGCAGGGACATTAGCTCTTGTCACCGGGCAGAGGCAATTTTTGGAGTGAAAAAAATACTCATATATATATTTATATTGATGATGGAACAAACAGTTAAAGGTGGTATTAGCGTATTTTATCAATACAATACAACTCATTAGTTGTTCATAAATTGATATAAAATTAATTTATTATACCATAAACGAACTTTTAGTTGCAATAAATACCTAATCAAATCTTTTTTCTCCTTATGTCTATTCGTTTTTCCCCAACAATCCTAAAAATTTTCAGCGACAGCAGCAATTCCACTAGTTTTGATTCTTGCAACTGCAAGTGCAGGAAGAACATTTTCAGCTTTGAGTTAAATTTAGAACAAGTTTCGAAGTCGAATTGGCGACCAGTTTGCTAATGATTGTTTAGTGTGATACATTAAAAGAAACTTACTTAACAGTGTAGACAATAAATGTTTTTGTGTTTCTTTTAAAATATGAGATTCCGTCGTGGTTGCTTATGAAAACAATGATTTTATTAGTCGATTATTTTTTATATGTGAATGAATTATTTGGATATAATTAGTTTTAATTTAATTAATTCATTAATTATATATTTATATTATGAAAAGAGAACATGAGTAGTTTCAAATCCCGACTCCGCCACTGGTGATACTCCACACCCATTATCAATAATGAAAGGTTTGGGGAGTAATATAGGAACTAATTAATTAACAATGATGTAATCTAACATGTATATTTTGATTCTGGGTTGCTTACTGGCCCACGTACGCACTAAGCCCGTAGAACATTCCAAGTCAGGCTGAGGCTACCAAAGTAGATTATTCTTAAGATCAGAGGAAGTGCACACGTGCAATGTACATACCCAAATCTTTGGACGAATCCCTCCTCATCCCCATCCACTCGGTATAATTCTCATTCCTTTCTTTAATCTGTCGTTTTTAGCTACTTTCGTACAGCTGGCTCAAGTGCCAAATTTCTAATTTCATCCTTTCACATGTGTAAGATGACGAAGAAGTCCACTCTATGTAATTTCCTTCCCCACATTTACTTTAAGTAAGATCTGGCAACATAACACATTTCGATCCAAAATAACCTTATTATTATTATTATTATTATTATTATTATTATTATTATTATTATCAAGGTTATTCAACAATAAAGAAAATTAATTTTGTTATCAAAGTTAGACCGAATAAGCTAATTCAGTTGTTTGAATCACTGTCAATATAAAAAAAAAAATAGATCAATTCAGTTGTCTGGGCATTTCACAATGAGTTGGATGTTTTGAATGACTTGTGTAGATGAGTTTATGATAAAGTTCAATTACGATGATGTGGATTATAAATTAGTTATACTTGCGGATAATATCAGTCTTATATTAGTTTTATTTCACAAGTATAACGATTCACCAACCATATTATGTAATATAAGTATAATTATTTAATCGTAAATATCTAATTTTAATAAAATTTAAAGTACACCAGAAAAAAACGGAGGTTGTTTCCTCTGGAATGTAAAAATGACAGCAATGAATAAGAGGTCGTATCTGTAACACGATAGAAATTAAGTGATGCAAATGTAAATTTAATTCCTTTGTTTTTCTCAACGTTTTTTTCTCTCCCTCGCTCGTGTATATATATAAAGTCATTGCCGTGTTTGACCTCCGAATTTCCCAGGAGCTCATTTCCAATCCTGCCCCGGAAGTTTTCTTCTTCTTCTTCTCTTCTTCCTCTCCGCCTTCCTCTACACGCGAACTTCTCTCCAACTCCCATGTAAACAGTAGCGCTAACTCTCTCGCTTAGTTCCCCACTGTCGCCGCTTCCCTCCGATCGCCGGAGCCGGCTCTGTGAGAACAATCCACCTCGCGCCAAACGGCAACAGACGAAGAGTACGGAGGAACGAAACCGACAACGAGATGAGACGAACTAGTGATAGCAATGGAGGAGGAAGAGGATCTGTCGTAGGTTCCAGAGCTCTCGCTTCCATCAACAACAGCGCCTTGGATACTATCAACGCCGCTGCCAACCGCATCGCCTCCGTCGAGAATCGTCATTCTCAGGAGGCTTCCGCCGCCGCCGCGTCTGCTCAGGTGCTTCTTCTCTTCCTATTTCTACTCTGTTAGCTAATTCATTTTCCAATTGAGCACGGCTTGATCATTTCCAAGATTTCTGTTCGTTGAGATTCTGGTGATTCGGTGATCTCCGTTCGTCCTGATTTCAATCGTCAAACTGAATCGTTTCCTGTATGCATAGAAATGAATTTAGAGCTAGGGATTTCTGGAGAATTTTGTGCAATCGAAATTCGGAAGAAGGAACAATAGGAACTGGAAGTAGAATTTCCTGTAGGTTTACTTTTTTCCCCAAAAGTAGTTTTGACTGTTTCCATACTCAAAAGCTTGCTATTGTTAGGTTACTGTTAGCTGTTCAATGTATTGACCATGGCGGCTGTAGAAACCGCTTGGCGTGCTTCAATTGGCCTATGAAAGTTGAACTTTGTAGCCGACCGACTGTACAGTAGCGCATTCTTTTACCCCTCATTTTCCTGTATCTGATTCATGTTCGATAAGCATCGAAATTGCAGACTAGAAGGATGACGGGTTGATGGTTCTCTGCCCTAGTCAAATTTAGTTTTCCTTGTATCACTCTGCTCTTTCTGCAAAATAGGTCTTTAATGTGATTGCAAGACTAGTTTGGAATCTAGCTACTATCTTGAACAAGTCATTGGCATGCCCTTTCTTCTCACAGGTCATACTTGTTTAGATCGCCACTTCTCTCTAATTCTCCACTCCTTAGTAACATTTGTTGCTGTGGTTTGACATATGCAGAAGAAGAAATGGGGAGGCTGCTGGAGCATATACAGCTGCTTCGGGTACCAGAGGAGCAGGCAACGAATTGGACATGCTGTGTTCATCCCTGAACCACGAACTTCTGGTAGTGGAAACCAAGCCCCAACTGTTGAAAACCCTAATCACCAACAACCACCACCACAAGTCGTGCATCCTTTCATGGCACCACCTTCCTCCCCTGCATCTTTCATCCCATCAGAACCTCCTTCTGTCACACAGTCACCGGCTGGTAAAGTCTCCCTCTCCATGTACTCTCCACCCGGACCCTCTTCCATTTTCGCCATCGGCCCGTATGCCCACGAAACCCAGCTGGTCTCACCGCCAGTCTTCTCAACCTTCAACACCGAACCATCAACTGCTCCCTTCACACCTCCACCGGAATCCGTCCATCTCACCAACACACCTTCCTCCCCTGAGGTTCCTTTTGCTCAGCTCCTTGAGAGATTCCCTTTATCCCACTACGAGTTTCAGCAGCGGTATCAGTTCCACCCTGGCAGCCCAGCTGGCCAACTCATCTCCCCTCGGTCAGGGATTTCGGGTTCAGGTGCTTCGTCTCCTTTCCCTGAGGGTGATTTCCCTGCTGCAGGGTTCCCGTTTATGGAGTTTCGTGGTGGATCATCGCATCAGGGATCTGGAGCGTTGACACCGGACTCTGTGAGGCCAGCAGGATCAAGCAGCAGCAACAACTTTGGTCTTCTAGACCGGCAGTCTTCTGATCTTGCAAGTAGCCATCGGGTCTTCTTCGAGCTGACTGCTGGTGCTCGTCTGACTCCTCGCGAAGAGCCCATTGCAGCATCTTCTCTTAGAACTGCTCTGGAATCCATAGAGAATGGAATGCTGAAAGAGAATCAACAGAAAGAGCCTGTCCATGGTTTCGAGACTCCTGTTGGTGAAACGTCCAATAATGGCACGCCAGAGAAAGCTCCAGATGCCCCAACCCATTTTAGGCATCGGACGATAACATTCGGCTGTTCCAACGATTTCGATTTCGGAAGTTCAGGGAGAGAAGAGCTTGATAGCATTGCCTCACATGTCATTGCATCACATCAAGGACCTGCTGCATCAAGCAACTTTGTTCTAGACCGACAGTCATCTGATCTTGGTGAACTCCCACATCTGGACGGTGGACGTGAGAAAAACCAAGTTGCGTATCAAAGGGTCTTTTTCGAGTGGACTGCCGACGATCGTTTGAGGTACGAGGAGCCCAAGACGCAGCCGGCATCTTCTGTTGAAACTGCAGCAGAGTGTACAGAAAGTGGAAGCAAACCTGAAACAGAGGAGACATTGTTACACAGTGAGGTTATACATGGTGGTGAAACATCATCCAACGGCGCAGCAGACAAAGCTGGGAAGGAGAAAGCTGAGGAAGGGGCACCACCAACCCATTGTAGGCATCGGACTATAACGCTAGGCTGTGTCAAAGATTTCGACTTTGAAGAAGAGGAAGAAAATCCAGAAGGAGAAGGTACCCAGAAGCCCAACAATGATGGGCCGGAGTGGTGGGCCAATGGGAAGCAGGGGGAGGCTCTTGAGAACTGGTCTTTCTTTCCTGTAGCCCAGCCTGGTACAGTGATCTAGCCTACTACCTTGACTATCTTCCTGCGTTTTGGCCTTTTGCGCTCGTAACAGTCAAATTTTGGGCTGAAGTTCTGGAAGGGTTATCCTTACCGACTAACTACGTGTAGGCTGCTTTTGAGAGTTTTGCAGGCCCTTTTGTGGCGTGAAACCAATGGCCGGTAGTTATGTTCTTACCTAAGTATACCATAGATCTTGGTGCACATCTCTTTTCCACTTCCAGTTTAAGCTAGAACAAGTTGTAACGTAGAGTGATGAAATGGAGGAATGGCTTAGACATTTAACAACGTTACGGCTTTTGAATTCGATATTATACAAAAATGTCAAAGAAGTGTTTCTCTTCTATGCTCAAGATTCTTCTCTGATCACATCTAAACATCTAACAAGATTTGCTTTTTGTTTTCATTCCACAAACTTGTAGAAAGAATCAGACTTATATTTGTTGTTTCGAAATGGTTACATCAAAGACGGTTAACTCCAATCAATTATCCTGGGCTTTAAATAGTGGATTGGCCATACTTGAATCATTCTTTGGAGCCTATACGCATTGCACGGTTTGTTGTTTTGATGGAGAATGAACAAGAGGGTTGACTTTGGGCCCAAAGGAGAAGCGTAAGGCTCTTCGGCCTTCAGTAATAATGGGCTTTATGAGCTTTAGGTCTTATTGTAACGTTGTGGGCCAAGAGCTCTTTAATGCAACGTTGTGAGACGAAACCTTTACACTCTGTTTGGGAAGAGGGGTAAATGGGAGGAGGGTGCAAATGCGAGGGGTAAACACAGTTTCCAACACATTTGCACCTGTTTGGTTAATTTGGAACAGTAGGGGGGTGCAAAACGAGAGTGCAAATTTACTGTTTCGGCTTACCCCCCGAATTGGGGTGCAAAGGAAGGAAGGAAGAGAGGGGGAGGGGGGGAATTATGGAATTTTATTTTTCTAATTGTGTTATATATAATTATATAATAATTAATATTATCAATTTCTTCTTTTTATAAATATCATTAATGTAAACATTATTCGGGGTTGACCATTTGACTCTGGAAACAAGTTTATAAATGTTCGTCAAGTCAAATCTAGATCTCTTGGTTGAATCGAATTTGCATTGAAAATTAGATATACAAGGTGTTTGTGGAAAAGATAGAGAGAAATTGTTTGGTTAACTCATTTTATTTGACTAAATAGTTAAAACTTACAAATTCGAACGTGTTTGACTAAGTTTGACAATTTAAGATTAAACTAGACACGAAAACCCTATATAGGATGACCAGTTACGAGTTGAGCTTCGAGTTTTGAGATCGCTCGATCAATGATTATTACAATTGTTATAATTAATTATTATTTGAGCATTATTATATAATAACTATTTTTTTAGTAAAGTATATTTATTATCATATAGTAATATTTATTTTATTATTTTATGATAATATTTTATAATTTTAAAATCTATTTTATAATTTTAAAATCTATTTTAAAATCTATTTTAAAATAATATAATTACTTACTTTGCACTTTATTTGCACCCCCCTACTTTTTCATCCAAACAACAATTTACCCCTCCACTTACACCCCCCAGCAATTTGCACCCCCCAGCAATTTACCCCTCAACTTGCACCCTCCTGCAATTTGCACCCCCCTTGTTGCCAAACAGAGCGTTACAAATGTGGGATTCACATGCAAGGTTGTCAAACCGGTTTATACCGTTGTGCCGGTTTGGCAAGTGCAATGGTATAATCAGTTTGTGCCGGTCTAAAAAAATGTGAAAACAATTAATATTCAATGTGTTTAATCATATATAAAACATATTTATGGATAATTTAGTTACAATCCAACAAATATCATCAACTTTTAACTATTACATTCATAAAATGAATAATAAATTATTCATTTTATTCATGTCTAGTGGTATTACCACTAGACCAATCCCTTGTTCGTAGAGGTGGCAATTAGGATCCAAATCCATGAATCCAATTCAATCCATCCACCAAATTATCCACTTAATCCAATCCATTTAAATCCAATCCATTTGATCCAAATCCAATTGGATTGGTGGATTCATGGATCAATCCATGGATCCAAATGGTAAATTACGACTTGGTACCTATATTTTTTATATTTTACATTTTGGTACCTAAAATTTATATTTTTATACTAAAAATATCATTGGAAAATTACATTTTGGTACCTAAAATTTTTCATTATGACATTTTAGTACCAAAACTTTTCAAATCTTACATTTTGGTCTAAGCTTTGGATGTCATTTGGATTCATGGATCAATCCACCAATCCATTTGATCCAATCCATGAATCCACCAATCCATTGGATCCAATCCATTTGATCCATGAATCCATCAATTCAATCCACGAATCCGATCCAATTGCCACCTCTACTTGTTCGTAAGGAATTTTCTCATTTGACCGTTACAAAAGAAAAGAATCATGGTATAGGCTTCTTTTTTCAAGTTGACGAAACCAATTTGATAGTGTGTTGTTTCATCTGGATCATATCTCAAATTTGCTGCTGCACAACGAATCATCGAAAGGGATCCTCGTATCCAGAAGAAGGATTTCACATAGATTATTTTATGCGACTCCTCACATGGCTTCTACACATAAAAAGCCCTTTGAAATAAAAACAATAGAATTCGAAAACAACGGAGATACCGCGCCTAAAAATTTACAAAGAATACTACTCTTGCGACTACCAGCCGCCTAACCGAACCTTTGACAGAACGAGATTTAATTCACCGGCCGGACTTGTAATATTTCCAGAATTCCAGTTATTATTCTTTGAATGGACCGGATTACGCCTCACGAATCTCGATCCACCGAACATCAAACCCAAGTATTTCCACTTCGATGTGAACTCAACACCGAGTGCCACGCCCACGTACCAGGAATCCGGGAAAGAGACCCGGCCGGCCGGCCGGCGGTAGGTTAGCTGGAATTCGTCTTTTTCAACAACGACGACGAAGAAAAACATAACTATAGGTATGGAGCAATCTATCCCCATAACCCTTCAATGTCTAGAAGCGTTAGAACACCAACTTCATCAACAAGCACGCGATGAACCATTCTCTATTCGATGAGGGTGATTAATCGTCATAGCAATATACCCTGTTTCAACGACGTTTCCGCGCGAACTGTTTTTTATATGTTACTCTGTTTTGCTCTCTGGAGTCTGGACTCCATGTCAAAGTATTAAAAAGGAGGGCGTCGCTTTCCAACAAAAATATCACTTGTATCCCCCTTTTCGAATACAAAATCTACCTTTTTAAATAATAAATGTGGAACAAAAGAAAATTAAACAGCAGTCTCAGCTTAAATCTCAATTGTTAAGCTGAGATGGTACAATTTATTTTTAATTGTCACACTAAGTAAACAATACACGTATTTTGAGTACATACAAATATGGTAAAAGGATGTTTCCAAAGACCAAAAACAATCACATAAACCAAACGACCCTAAGAGTATGAGATTATGAAAAGTATATGTGACAGAATCGCTAATGGTGCCTCTCAAACCATTGATGACCGTTCTGACCGCGATCTTAAAGAATGCAACAAAATGTTGGTGCCTTAACCTCGTGAGATTTCCAACGACTTTTTCTGGTTGAACTTCATCTTTCCAGTAATGAAAAACAACTTTAGTGATAAAGATTATTCCTACAACTGCTCAAACAACTATCTTGTGTTTGATTCCCTTGTATCACGCATTCGGTATAGTTGGCAAGATCCTCCAACTATTGAAACCTGGACCATAAAGGACTTAACTTAATCATGTTAGGCTTCAATCAGTAAGTTAACCAAAATTTAAGGTTAAAAAAGAGAGAGAACCCAAACTTCTCCCTTCAAATTTGCAGCAGAAATCATGGATGAGATCTCAGTATCTCACCCAAATGCGGAAGAACTAATTAACAATTGTTTTTCACCAACCGTGTTTAATCAAAAACGCATTTCCCACAGTGGAGCAACCACTACACAAGTATTTTCCACATGGCCGTTGCCAATGGAACAGCCAAAGAAGCAGCCTCCCATTAAGAAATACATATAATAAAATATCCTGATAAAATAAACCAATGAAGATTTGATAAATAAATAAAGGGTATTACTAGAAAAAGAGGCAAATAGAGAAGGCATATAGTAGGAGTGAGCATACGGTTAAGTAAAATCGAACCGAATCGAATATAAACCGAATCAAAATCGAAATAATGTATTTCGGTTCGGAAGGAAAAAGGGTATATTTTGGAAATTAGGGTACTTTCGACAGAACCGAACTTTCGAATTTTGAACCGAATAACCGAATTACTATAATTGCAAGCTCTAAATGGTGGGTTTTTATTATTATGAGACTTAAATCTTTGAATCATGTTAGTGTTTTATGACTTATGTGTTGAAATATTTGATTTTATCATTGATGATGCATATAATTGTATATCTATTATTTATTGTTTACATTAAAAGAAAGAAGGTACAAGCTAACCTAACAAGTTCGGTTTTGTATAAAAACTGAACCGAACCGAATGATAATTTGGTTTAAACCGACGGAACCAAATTATAATTCGGTTTGAGGTTTGATGGAATTCGGGGACTCGGTATGCATTATTAAACCGAACCGAACGAATGTCCACCTTATACAGAAAGCAAGCATCAATCATGTTTAGTGTAGATCCAACTTTAAAACAGAGAGTTGTTTAACTTTAGAGGCTACCAGCCGCCTAAGCAATGACATCAGCCACATTATTGTCAAAATTATATTCAAGGGGTCAAACCTCCACTTCTAGAATTCTAATTAATACATGTATTATTAAACCTATCCCTCATATCCAAGATGCTGAATTTGCTTGCTTTTCCAACGTTGAACCTAATAATTAGATTAAATTGTGTTATTGTATCGATCCAATAGTTCATTCTCTCCATAATAACAAGATTGATCTGAATCGTCACAAGAAAGACAACTGAAAGAAAATACAAATTTATGCCCATAATTCGCAACTTACAAGGAACGACCTTCTAGGTTCCAACAAAAGATCTGAGAGTGGTCATGGGAAATAATTCAGAAGAAGGTTCCAAGAAAATATAATTCCCAGAAAGAGAGAGAATAGCGAATGCCAGTCCACTTTGGGTGGCCGCCAGCAGCCGATTCCCAATTAATTTTCTGTGCCAATTTACTCATTTAGTGTGACAAATCGGAGAAATCAAATGGGTCAATTGCATATTTAGTCCCTGAATTATGAAAATTTTGGCAAACGAGTCCCCTGGATAAATGCTTTAGTTACTAGCACTGAAACTATAGATTGTGATATAAGTGATAA